TCTGTGGGAAAAAAATTGTTGTTATAATATTAAAACTACGTGACGGATGGTGGCATCACAAAGTCATTACTATAGGCCCGAATTCACAAAGGAGGTTTGTCGACAAACCGAGGTTTATGTACGTCATACGACGCGTTTTGACGCGTTTTTACAAACCTGGTTTGTAAAAAAGCGTCGAAACGCGTCATATGACGCACGAAAACCAAGGTTTGTCGACAAACGCTTTTGTGAATTCGGGCCCTAATTTTCTTCTTCTAAGTTCTTCTTCTTCTTGACTTATGCCGTCCACGCAGGCCAGGAGCCTAATGATGGCTTCTATATGGTGATGTGTATGTCAAGTATTTCTGTCTGCAGCCAGTCTTGATGCATCTGTCATCCTTGGTATGGATCTTCTTCTATTTCTATCTTATTTTTTTTATTTCTTCTTCCCCTTTCTATTTTGTTTCTCCTCATACGGCTACCTCCTCCCTCTTTCGTTCCCTCTTGCGATCTGTCTTTCCCCTCTCTCTCTCTCTCTCTCTCTCCCTCTCTGTCTCTGTCCCTAAAAAGAATTTGAAAGATGATAAAGTCACGAGTCCTGGAATTTCGGTATAAGATCCCATAGGCATCACGATTGATTTAAACAATGATGGTATAGAAGCGAGACCTCCTCATTCCAAGATTCCTCCATAATTATAAGCGGAGGGCCAAAGTCAGAAAAAAGGTTTGCCTGCCTCATTGTTTACAAGAGGAAGAAGAAAATGAAAGGGCTAAAAAGAAGGAGATCGGGGGAGCCGAAAGGACCTTGCTAGCTCCCCCCTCCCCCCTCCCCCCCCACCCCCTACATCAAACAAAAAGAGAGAAGGAAGGATAGGGAAAGAAAAAAGGAAAAAAGAGGAAGAAGAAAAGAAAAGAAAGGGGATATATCAGGTGCAATTTTTTCACCAACAAGTTATAGATCGGGGGTGGGGGGGGGGGCAAAAGGCCCTTGCCTCTTCCTCCAACCCCGCCCCAAATAAGAGAGAGAAGGAAGGGAAAGGGAACGTCGAGGAGAGCTAAAAATGTACAAAAAAGAGGAAGAAGAAAAGAAAAGGGTGAAAAGAAGGGGAGATCCCCCCCCCCCCCGTCAAACCTAACAGAGAGAGAAGGAAGGGGAAGGAAATTAGGGAAAGAAGAGAGAAAGGGGGGGGGAATAAAAAAGGGAAATAAGTAAGGTATAACTAGGCCATCAGTTGCGATTTTAGTTCCCCGCCAACAAGGTGTAGATCGAGGGCGTGGGGATGCACTGGCGTATGGATGGGGGTGGGGTGCCCCCCAATAAAATTCAAACGTGGTTTATTTCTAATTCGATACCGGTGATTTACAAATGTTGCTGAAATGACATTATTTTCCGGGTTTTTCCCTCTCCTATACTTTTGTATGCATTTCTTGGAAAATGACAAATTCCTTAAATTACCGTCAGGCGAGAAATATGCTTATTGATTGAGGCTTACTTGTTGGGGCCCACGGAACGGCGGAGCTCAGGGGCCTCGAGCTCCCCTGACCTGTCAGTGTCACAAGATAACGAGGTATCAAAATATGCTCATCTGACCGTGATTAAATGCCGATAAAGCTTCCGACGGCTCTGCCATATGGAAACGTTGTATCATCCGCTCAATCTGACATGCGTGCATAGAACAAATAAGCATTTTTCCATGAAAAAGTGAAGTTTTCTAAAATGTGCGTTTCTTTCCAGGATTGGGGCGCCCGGAAGTCACTCGGGTAACATTTCATAAAGTATAATATAAAAAGACCATATGCAAATTGTCTGTACTTTTGTCGGAAAAAATACATTTATCCAGCACGATGTCGTCTCTTTTTGCGTTGGAGAAGAGCAAATAGCAAGTTTCAATCACACTTTGGCCGCTCTCGCAAGCTCTAACTCGTTTCACTGTGGTCAAGCGACTTTGGGGCAATTAAGCGGTTAATGAAAATACTAATCGTTAGCTTTCTTCTGGTATTAAAATTGTTTTGATTGATTGTATAATTTTGTCGGAATAAAGGAAACAAAAAGGCTTGACCAATAACTTATCAGCGTCTGAATTGACCTTTTGATCTTGAATTCCCTGATGCAAGCGTCATCTTCGCTAAATCGGTGTCTTTTATCGTAAAATGCTACACTTTCACAATGTTTATACATCTTTTTTAGTCATTAGTAATATATAACATATTTTGTCTGTTATCACTGAAGTTTAGGGTTTTATTTGATGAGTAATTTTAAATAAGAGCCATTTTACTGTTTTAATTTACTGGATCGTACCATTAAAGTCGCAGGGTAGAAAAATGCATTTTCCAACCGCGCCATAATTTACGTTCCGACATTCTGTTAAATAGGTTCGTGTTGTTAAAAATCCAATGCTTTCTGCTCTACCAAACGTCCACATGCGGAGTCGTTTATCAACTAAATTATTCAAATTTATGGATGCTTCCTTCCCAGGTGTTTGTGTTGTTGAAGCATTTCATTCACCTGCTATCATTCTTTACTCCAATTGCCAGAACGCAAATTACATTTTGTTTTTAAAATTTCATGCGGAGTCGTTTATCAACTATATATATTCAAATTTATGAATGCTTCCTTCCCAGGTATTTGTGGTGTTTATGCATTTCATTCACCTGTTATTATTCTTTGTACTCCAATTGTTAGAATACAAAATGCATTTTGGTTTTATAGTTTCATTCAATAAGTATTTCAATAAAAGAGTATGTTCTGCACGATAAAAACGATGTGTGTCCCTATTGTACAATGTAATGTGTCCCCTCATTTTGTAATAGTTAATTTACCCATTCACATAATGGAACTACCTGCCCGATGAAGCCAGTTGCCCGTGACCCCTGAGCACTCAACACCGTGTGGGAGTCAGTTTGTGGTCAACTTCTTTTATGAGACAATTCCGAGCAAACGTTTCCATATGCCCCTTGATTCCACCTAGGGCCCCTTGATGCCCCCTGGACCCTACGCCAATTAGTTTCCTGCCAGTTTCACAAATAAGGTATCAAAATAATGCTCATCTGACCGTAATTAAACGTATACAAATCGTCGGTAAAGGGGGGGGGGTGGGGGTGCGACACCCCCACCTGTCAGGATATGTCGCTGCTGTCGAGAAAGAGAAAGAAAAAAAGGGAAAAGAAAGGAAAGGAAATGAAGGAAAGAGAAGAGAAGAAAGAAAGAGAAAAAGAGGAAGGAGAGGAAAGAAAGGAAAAGAAAGAAGGAAAGAAAAGAAAGAAAAGGAAAAATAGAAGAAAAAAAAGAAAAAAAGAAAAAAGGAAACAAAAGAAACGGAGGGTGAAAGAGAGAAGAAAGAGAGGGGGTAAGAGCCTGAGAGGAGAGGGAAGGGAGTAAGAGAGAGGGGGATGTTGGATGGAGTCGCAACTCGTCGAAGGAGCAAGAAAGATACGCATAGTTAATTATGTTGCTGTGTCGGGTCCGCTGTGTCGGTAATCTTGCTCGACCCTCGTGTGCTATATCAATGAAGAAGATTAAAGCCGGTGAGATTTATTGTCGGTCTGCCGGCAATTTTTTTCCCCCTACGAACTGTGACTTTTTATCGGACAAAGAAACATTTTTGAAAATTCAGACAATGATTAGGATTGGAGTCGGTTCTCTAATAATTTGATGAAACGTGAAAGCTTCCGCGGGGGAGTGAGCACTAATTTTTTTTTTGGTCCTCGAAAATTTCAAAAATTGCACCCCCCCCTCCCCCCCCCCCCCCTTGAGCGCCAGGGGGGGGGGAGGGGGCCCATCTCCAAAAAAAGGTAAAATCAACCTTAAAAATTGTAAAAATACACATTATTTTCCCAGGGGGGGGGGGGCCGGGCCCCCGGGATCCGCCATTGCCTGAACCCCATCTAGGGCACGAAGGCTGGCCTCTAGATGCTCATCTGACCGTTATATAATGCGTTAAAATCCCTGAGCTTCTAGGGGCTCCGCCCCCTGGACCCCACCTCAATTAATATCATGCCAGTGTCACAGTCATAGAGGCTGTTCACACCGACAGAGATAGCGCGCGCTAGACCGCGCTATCTCTGCGGTTTGGAAGGTACAACGTCGTTTCGGTCCGCCCAACAGCGAGCCACGGCGAGCCAAAACGGCGTGGCACTGGAGCACCCCTTGGGGGTGGTCCACGAGAGATAGCGCGGTCTAGCGCGCGCTAGAAAAAAGGGGGTGCTACGATAGACCGCGCTATCTCATTGCGGTGTGAACAGCCTCAAAGTAGCCTGTGGTGAAAGGGCTTTTTCATCTGCAGCACCTTGTCTTTGGAATAAATTACCATTTAATTTGAGAATAGACCAGTTCACGGTTAGTACGTTACTGCAATGACCCCGAATATCCACAGAGCTTCAAAACATGAAGAGGTCCCACATTGTACATTTTGAAATAATCATTCCTACAGCGATGGAGGTGCTATATATAAATAGCCTTTGTTCCCCCTTTTCAAAGAATACTTCCACCTGTGTACCATGGAGTGCACTGAATGTGCATGAATGAATAATGTTACATAACTTTCATGAGCACGTATCCAGTATTTCGTCTCCGTGTATTTCAAAATTTGTTCTGCAATGACCTTTATCTGCTCATGCTCACACTGCAACCGTGAACTGGCTTATTATAACTTCCTTAGTGACCTTTAAATCCAAGCTGAAATCTTGTCTTTTTTAACAATACCTGTACTTGGCACTATGGCACTCATCCGAACTTTCTCGTCCAAATGTTTGTTTTGGCCCTCGAACATTTAAAAAATCGCCCCCCCCCCTTGAGCACCAGGGGAGGGGGCCCATCTCCAAAAAAAGGTAAAATTAATGTGTTTTACACGTTTTTTCCCAGGGGTGGATCCGCCACTGGGTTCCGAGACTAAACCATTCCAGCATCTTACAATGATCTTGCCCTCCTTTGAGTTTGTCGATGACAATAAAGGGGTGTCTATCAGGGGTGTCGATATAAAGAACCCTTTGAACTCCGACATGATTAAGGCTATAGCTCTTAAATAAAAGAAAGCTAATCTTAAACTATACATGTTTCAAAACACGCCAAATACCAATAGATTAACAACGTCATGCATGCCAAAGAAACTTTGACAAAGGCTTTCCTATACAGATTTCAGCCTAAACTCGGAGTACCAACATAGGCGCGCATTCTGCTATTTGATCGTTTACGTGAGTACACGCACTTGTTTCCTTCTCTTGCTGTAGTTTTGAAATCGTAATTTGAATGTTATTTAGCTCCATTTTGAGATTGTTTTAAAATCATTATCATATATCATCTTACCGTAGGTATGTTGTATATCAAGCTATTTCTTGCCATTTTCCTTTTTCCTTATTTACCATGTTTGAGCAGCTCTTTTCGTTTATGTTATGGACAGCTGTCACCATAATTTTTTTTGCACGACAAATTCAAGATTCAAGATACTAAACTATTGTTTATTTAGATCTATCCATGTTTCATTTAGAATCATTTATTGTGAAGAAAATATTCCAGTGTAATTGATGAACGCTAAGGCCAAATAAAAAAAAAACATGTTTAGCGTCCTGCTTTTTTGAAAAATAGGGAGGAGGCCCTTCTTTTTTTCTTTTGTTTTCTTTCAAAATGGCCGCTCGGTACATTTTCCCTGACAGTCGGGCTATTTTTCAAGATGGCCGCCGACATTTTGTTTTCCTTTAATCAGAAATAGATCCATTTAAGCAGTGTTTTTCTTCTTTAAAAAATTATTTAAAAAAAAACATTAATACAAAAAAAAAACATTAAAAAAAAAAAATCTAAACTAGAAATTTAATTCGTCATGGGGACGAATTAGGTGGTCTGTTTTCAATTTAATGATCATTAAAAAGTCAACAACAACAAAAAATGGAGAAAAAAAATTGTTGGAGACGCCCGGACTCGAACCAGGGACCTCGAGGTCGGAAGTCAAGTGCGTTACCGATATACCAAAACATTTCCCATAGCGATTACACGTAAACGGAAAATGGAATTCTCAAACCCCACATTGTAAGTGAAATATGAGCATGATCTTGGCATCTGATCGAAAAATAAAGGGCACACTTATGATAGCTTATTGTCTCAGCTACAACATACTCAAAGCTCAGCGTAAACAAAGATAAAACGACGGAGATATTGCTCCCGAAAGACGATAATGTAGAATCCAGTTTTGAGAAAAAGTCATGTCCCATAGAGAATACACGCAAAATGTGAAAAATTGACATGCCTCCTTTAATCGCAAAATTACGCCATGATGCCTTTGTCAAAATGAAATATCGTGATGACTGCATTTGTGGAGAATATTTTCAGGTAGAACACATCAAAAAAATTCGAAAGAAAATTGATCAATATTTACAGAGATACAATCAATTTTCCAAAAATCTGCTGACGTCATAATATGCAAATTGAAATTATGAGTTTGGAGGCCATTATGATGACGTCATGAGTTAATTGAGGGTCAAATGACACATGAAATCATATCTCCAACTCATGCTTTTTCCAACCATGATATAAAAGTTGGGGTCAATTGACTATCTGAAGAGCTATTTTGATTTTTAAAATAGGATGTTTTTGATCAAATTTGCATTATATTGCCCATAGCAGCACGCGCGGATTTTGAACTTTGACGCGCGCTCACGGCCTTATGAAAGGTCAAGAGTGACTGAAATTAATGTAAATTGTCATTTACGGTAAGAGGAAGCTAAATCATGTAAAAAAAAATGAATTTGACCTTTTCCGCGCGTTGTGAGCGCGCGCGTGGACACGTACGGACGGAAAATTTTGAAATGCTTAAAATGACCTGATTCGTACTCTCGTTTAATAGTTAAGTGATTTTGAGCATTTTAAAATTTTGACGCGCGCGTACGTGCGCGTCATGACCTTTATGTGACCTTTGATGACATGACTTGTTGACCCTTGACCTGAAGTATATGTGATATGAATATGAGTGACCTTTGCCTATGCATCATGAAGATATGATGGATAATGTGATTTCACAAAGTGGCGCCTGCATGACGTCACGATGACTTGATGACCTTGAAAATGTTACTGGAACGTCTTATGGCAATGACTTATGACTGTGTCAAAATTGAAGGAAATTGACTAAACTGATCTTGAGTTATCCTGTTCACAAAAAAGTGAAGGAAATAAAAATAAAGAATAAACTAGACATATTATACTTGTTTGGAACAAGTATAGGTGGGCTGGTCAACTAACATTTGAGACAAAATAGAGCAAAAATAAGCGACATACTGCTTACAAATTCTTAAAAGACAATATCATGTAGATTCATAACGTGAACTAAATTCACCTTCTATAGGCATAACACGCAAATTATGAAGTTTTTGACATGAGGCCTTTAATCAAAATTTTCACTATGATGACGTCATCAAAATGAAAAATGGTTATTACTGCGCTTGTAGAGAATTGTCTTAGCTACAACATATCGAAATTTTGAAGAAAATTGATCAATATTTACAGAGATACAATCAATTTTACATAAATATGCTGACGTCATAATATGCAAATTCGTATTTTGAGTTCCAAGGCCATTGTGATGATGTCACGATACACTTAATGGCCAAACTAGACATGGAATCATATTTCCGACTCATACTCTATCTTAATATGAAAAAAATTGAGGATCCCGGTGCATTCCAAAGAGCTATAACGGATTTTGTATAGGCATGTTTTTGCCCATATATGCTATGTATTAAAAGACCTCGCGCGCACTGACAATTATCTTGAATTTACGCTCATCTTGTTAATAATGGTCATAAAGAGATAAACATGGAATCAAATTCCTTGAAAAAATATGAGAAATATCATGAAAGAAAAAAAAATGGCGATTCTATGTTTTTTAATGGTGTTACGCGCGAAAACGCGCGCGCATGCTCGTACGCGCGATTTTTTATAAAATGCTTAAAATGACCTGAAACGTATGCAAAATAAATTTAAGACGAATTTGAGCATTTAAAAATTTTGCGCGCGCACTGACGCGCGGACGTACGCGCACGCGCGCGTTTTTTGACCTGAAATTGACCGGACTGATATTGACCTTGATCGTGATAAATATGAATGAGAAATGAATTACCGTTATGAAAATATGATCATGAGTAAATTTTCAGAAAATTTCACAAAATGGCGCCTAGATGACGTCATCAGTCAAGGTCAAGGTTGAAAACTTTGCTGTGCCTTGTTCATATGCCTATACATATGTGTGCCAAATTTTAAGATATTTGATTGAGCCATTTTCAAATTATCTTGCTCACAAAAAAGTGGGTCGAAATAAGAAAAATAAATAATAAAGAAATAATAAAGGCAATTTTAACAAAATTATAAGGTGGTCTGTATTAGATACAGCCCACCTAATAAATAAACTAGACATATAATACTTGTTTGGAACAAGTATAGGTGGGCTGGTCAACTTAAATTTGAGACAAAATAGAGCGAAAATAAGCGAGATACTGCTTAAAAATTCTTAAAAAACAATATCATGTAGTTTCATGACGTGAACGTAATTCACCTTCTACAGGGATCAGGCAAATTATGAAGGCCTTTTGACATGAGGCCTTTAATCGAGATTTTCACTATGATGACGTCATCAAAATGAAAAATGGTTATTTTAAAGCTTGTAGACAATTGTCTTAGCTACAACATATCGAAATTTTGAAGAAAATTGATCAATATTTACAGACATGCAATCAATTTTCCATAAATATGCTGACGTCATAATATGCAAATTCGTATTTTGAGTTCCAAGGCCATTGTGATGATGTCACGATACACTTAATGGCCAAATGAGACATGAAATCATGTCTCCGACTCATACTCTATCTAAATAGGAAAAAAATTAAGGATCCCGGTGCATTCCAAAGAGCTATAATGGATTTTGTATAGGCATGTTTTTGCCCATATATGCTATGTATTATAAGAGCTCGCGCGCACTGACATTTATCTTGAATGGACGCTCATCTTAAAATAATGGTCATAAAGAGATGAACATAGTATCAAATTGTTTGACAAAATATGGGAATTATCAAGAAAGAAAAAAAATGGCGATTCTACGTTGTGTAATGGTGTTACGCGCGAAAACGCGCGCGCATGCGCGTGTGCGCGATTTTTTATAAAATGCTTAAAATGACCTGAAACGTATGCAAAAAAAATTTGAGACGATTTTGAGCATTTAAAATTTTTGCGCGCGTATTGACGCGCAGACGTACGCGCATGCGCGCGTTTTTTGACCTTAATTTGACCGGACTGATATTGACCTTGATCATGATAAATATGAATGAGAAATTACTTTTGGTTATGAAGATATGATCAAGAGTTGATTTTCAAAAAATTTCACAAAATGGCACCTAGATGACGTCATCAGTCAAGGTCAAGGTCGAAAAATTTGCTGTGTTTTGTGAATATGCCTATACATATGTGTGTTAAATTTTAAGATATTTGATTGAGCCATTTTCAAATTATCTTGCACACAAAAAAGTGGGTCGAAATAAGAAAAATAAATAATAAATAAATAATAATAAAGGCAATTTTAACAAAATTATAAGGTGGTCTGTATTAGATACAGCCCACCTAATAAATAAATAAATAAATAAGAAAGAAAATTCTGACGAAAACAATAGGTGATCTGTTTTCAACAGACCACCTAAAAATCAACAACAAAAAAAAGTAGGAGGCGGCCCTAAAAAGGAAGCGGACGGGGACGCTAAACATGTTTATTTTTGTAATGGCCTAATTGAATATTGATCATGTTCGTTTAACTCTTTCTTCATTCACCGGTATATACATACCGTGAACAAAGTCGTTAATAGTCATTTGATAGCCGAATAATCGCATGCTAATTTTAAATCATTTATTGTAACTTAAATCTTGAATTTGTTGCATCCAAAAGGCTTTGATAATAGCTGTCCAGGGTCGAATGAAGCGATAGTGTGAGTGTGTGCAGTGTGCAAGTAAAATAAGTTATAGACATTGTGTAGGTGAAGACATGTAACAAAACCATATAATGTTTACCAGTACGCAGGATTTTTTCAAGGGGGGGGGGGGACATTATTACTATTATTATTACTTTTTTTTGGGGGGGGGGGAGGGGGTCCCAACAATTTCGCAACGACTCAGCCAGCCGCTGAATAAGCGAGCGGGGGGGGGGTATGAGGACACATATGTTTTTTTTGTTTTTGGGGGGGAGGGGTCCCAAAATTTGAAAAATTGCCGGATCGACATTTTGGGGTCATCATTAGCATAATTTTTTTTTTTATTTAAAAAAAAAAATTAAAGGGGGGGGGGGGGGTTTCCTCGAAAATATACACATACAAATTACCAAAGGGGGGGGGGGTTAGCCGCCAACCCCCCCCCCCCCCCCCGCCCCCGCGTACGCGCCTGATGTTTACCATGCAAGCCGATACTTATAAGCAGCATTTATATAGTGTTTGCCAAAATAGTAATATCTGGTAAATTAATACATTACCTGATAAAGTAAGGCTAAATAACACAAATAACGAGTTTCTCGTCCCCGCCTGTCTCCTTTCTTTTTTTCTACTATTTACTTTTCAGACAAAAGAAGAAAAACAAAGTTTGTGATGTACATTTTGTATATATAGCTTCTATAGCTAATTCAAGCTGAACACAAGTCATATCGGGAGTCATATACATTTTTTACTATTTCTGAATTTTAAAACTTGCTTAGCAAGTGGACTAAAATGAGACAAATCATTTGTTTTGCCATACATTGCATCAGTATATTCAAATAGCACAATACTGATGAATAGATTTACATTGGCCAGCTATATTTAGAATGGCGGCCATCTCGCAAAACTCGTTATTGTTGTTATTTGGCCTAATATCTTGTTAATATTTGCTAATTACAACACAAAAGAAAGCAATCTGAACTGAACTGAGCTTACAACAACTCATGGTTGACACATTCTTTCGGCCCCATTATCCTCCGGGCTTTATTTCATCAAAGAATTAGGGAAAGGATCGTGATTGTTTTTATCATATTTATGGTTAGGTCCAGGGATGAAAATGAGAATTCGTTGAATTAAGAAATTAAGCATTTAACGTCGAAGCACGAGTCGTAGAACTCAGTTTGATGCTCCTTCAAATTTCATACAAAGTGCTGAAATCAGATGTGGTAAGGTTGAATGGTCTGAAAATGTCACAATTTTCTTATTTTTTGTCCTCTTCCCTTGTTATCCGAGATATTGTATTTTCAAGAGCTCATGCAAAGCCCCAAACATATTGCTTTAATATTGTAAATCGAAGTTTAGTGAAAATGTCACAAATAATCGAGTCATGAAGATCAAGACCTATATCGTGTGAGAGGGCGGGGTGATCCTAATATCCCAGATCTTAATTAGGACAGACATTCGGCTTCGGCTTCTGCAGTTACTATTAAAACCTCATTTTTCATCCCTTAACTTATTTTACAGCTGAGTTTTTACAGCCTTTTCTCATATTCCCAATTCATCAGAAATTGAAAACTGAATAATTCTAGAAAATTGTCATTAAAAAACAAGTCACGTTCCCTCCTTGTCATCTGTTATTCATTTTTATGATTTAAATTTCTCTTTTAATACGTCGTATTTCTGAAATGAAAATGAGAAGATCGATTTGCATACACAGAGTAAGTCTCGAGTTGAAATGAAAATACAAAGTGTAACACACATCCGTATTGCAAATGAAAGAGTGCCGAACTTGATTGACGTTTTGACGAACTTGATTTGACTTTGAAAAATTCTGTATGGACTTAGTTCGAAAATGAATGATCAAAGACGAATTGACTATGAGATGTGCAAGATCACAAATTGTGGGGATATAATTGAATTGAATTAAAATATATACATGAATTAAGTATCTGTTCCCTATAAACCAGAAAGCAATAAAGATTCATGGCTCAAGATTTATTGTCCAAAATTATATATAATACAGATATTTTTTCAATCGGTGTTACATGTCATAGGCCTATAAACATTATACAGAACATGATGGTATCGTGTGCTGAGAGCCAGAAGGGCGTAAACACAAAGAATAGCAGCAAATATAATATAAACTTTCATTTCATAACCCAAATGCAATTTAATATCATAACTTGCACAGGACAACCCATTAGAAGAACCCAGAAACATCCCAACAAATACTTTAAATCATTGGAAAGAGTTTTGTACCCAATTAAATGGGTCCGGAGCGTTCTTCATATATCTAATACATGTTATTGGTTATTCTTTTCTCTTTCCTATACAGGTCTATACGCCAGTCTTTTGTTATCATAATGTAAGTACATGTATATACATCATTTTTCTTATGAATATAATATAAAAACAAGATAAACAAGAGAATGTGATATTTGCAAAATCACACATTTTGGCAAAACATTCACAAAACAAGCCTAATTTTAGGTTATTATTAAAAATGTAATGACTTGTGTAGAATGATTCCCTAGGAAAAGAGGAGTGTTATGCACCCACCCCCTCAGGAAACACTCATCACACCTAAAACAAAAATCCCAACGAGAATAACAAGTTCATACTTCAACATTTGCCAGCACATTTAAATTTAAATATATTTGGGATATCAAATAGGTACTATGTCCCATTTGCAGGCCCAAAAGATGAAAAGGTTAAATTCCAACGGTATTTGAAAGATGATAGTAATTTAGAACTTACCTCAAGCAAAAGGGCTTGAAAATGTCTTTTTGTTGGAAAATAAGGACCGTTAGTTGTCGAATCAAATTACGTGATCGCGGTCGTTTAATTAAATAGTCCGATTTTCAGACCCTTGGACCGAATGGTCGTACGTTTTGTGCTGCGCAAAGATTCACTCAGTTTAATTTTGGCCGTTACAAGAAGTGGGTTATTGATGTAGACAAATGCCCATGTACCCTTTACAGCTCATTTTATGTATGTTATTACCATGCAAAGAAAAGAAAAGAAAAGAAGTCAGTCAGTCACTCACTGACAGCGAAGTACGTCTAGAAAGTAGACAGGGTTCCTGTTGCATAATTTGAATACTGGGGCTAACGTTTAAATTTCAGAGACATAATTATGTGACATATTCATAATTCCTGCAAAGTTCTACAGAATTAGATATTGGCTGCAAAAGGGATACACTACCTTTAATGTTATTGTATCATCCCCCCGGCTTCCCATACCTCCTGACATAAAGCCTGGCTTTCAGGCTGGGCAGCCCAGGGATAAACTCACATATCCCTGGGTAGACAAGGCAATATACAATGATAAAACAATGTGTGAAAAAGACAGATTTTTCCATAAAGTTCAAATGATTCAAACTGTCGTTCGTTTTGATTTATCAATATATCATCGACTCTATTTTTTCTTGACCTTAACAGCCTTCATCATGAATGTGATCGACCCTGACGTTGGGCCATGGGCCAGAGTTAGGCACCAGTGTTTATGCCGCACACAGGGAGGTTTCGGACCCCGGTGCAAGAGGGACACGCGACACCTTTCGCGCATCTGTTGGCAGCACCGCTTAAATTACACAGAGGAGGAGTGAGTACTCTTATTGAATTTTCTTTAATCAAGATGCATTAATGCTGTATACCACACTTCTGTATTATATTGTAATTGAGTAAAAGTAAATTAAAAGGACTGAACTGGTTTATTAACAACTTTCCATCATGGGCAAATGCCGAATTTTGGTAGCTTCTACAGGGTAAAAATGGAAGAAAAAAAAATATAAGTAGATATCTAGGCTTCGGTGGAAAGCGCTTTATAAATAAGCATCGTTTTATTATTGTTATTATTATAAGTACACACAAACAAAAATCATAAAACAAAATAATTAAACAACACAGATATTTAACCAGAAATCTGGGTAGTTAGGTAAATGATAATATTACAAAATTATTATTTTCATTATGTATAGATCGAGCGCTACTTTCAATCCAACTAAATTACGTTAGGCCTACTGTAGGCTTAAAGAAAAATATTGATGCTAAAAAGGCATAATCTGTACAGGAAAATACATCCTTGACCAAATCAATTCGGCCATTAAAAAAAAAAGATGTATTGCCCTTTGGGACCGACCCAAAAATTTGAAATATACGGTCGGCTTTAAAAAAAAAAAAAAAAAAAAAATTAAATGAAGAAAAAAGTATGTTTTTTGTTTGTTTAAATGGGATATAAATGCATAAAATCATCAAATTATTCGCAAATTCTAACTCGTCTTCTACTCTAGTTTCAAAATCCTGCTATAGCGTAAATTACATGCAAGTAGACCCGGCCTCGTGCACCAGCTAAAAACCAGGGATATTTGGGCGACGCGTTCCCGGTTTTTATTTTTTAGTGGGCGACGGTCGCTGTTAAGAGTTTTCTACGGAAAGGCTCACAACACTTTATTCATGACACATTTTGAAGGCACTACAACAAAAGTATTACAAAAAAAGAAAAGATTCCCGACCGACCGATCCATGTTTTGGCACCTAAAGGGCAATAAAACATCTTTTTTTTAAGGCTGAATATTGTACACAATAACATAACAGGCTTTAAAATGAGATCAAATGTAAAAATACATAATGTACCATTTTCAATGACACTGATGGATTCATAAGTTTTGGCAGTGACAGTTTTGAAGAATTTTGTCTCCGAGTGAAACCCCATTCATATCTACTAATTATACCAAACATCATTAAGATAAGAAAGTAATCAACTTTTTAATGACACCACAGTCCATTATATTCAGTCAAACTCTTGGTTTTGAACTTCTTTCTACAGGTTTATACTTTTATTGCTTATAGCTTTTTAAAGTAAATATTCAAAAGAAAAGTTAAAGCAGATTCAGAAAATATACTCATCCATTTTACTGTTTGATAGTATTATCTTTCTCGTTAGCATCAATATTAAAAACTTAAATTGAGTTTCTGCAAAATCACAGACCTTTCAAAGTATTCATTACAAAAAATGGAAGTATTTATTGCTAAAATATGTTACCTTCATAATAGTGTTTTTTTTTTTTTTTAAGAATGTTATTAATTGTGTATTTACTGTGAAGTGAGATAAATTTACAAATTTGAATAGTTGCGAACTTTGTTATTAAAAATATGAATGACACATGCACTTCTATGGGCAGTTTAACTCAAAAAGCTTGGTGTCCACCATCACAACCGTTACACAAACTTTAAGAATAAATATTCTTACTTACATAATTATTATTATTGATTGATAGTGATACTGTATGTTCTCCTTGAACTAGAAAATAAATTTAGAACAATTAACTTTTAATTGTTTTCATTTTTCATGAGAATGTATGATGCCATATAACGTTCATCACCCAGTCCTCTAGGATGGACACCAAAGGTTCACAATTTTTTGTTAAATATCTATTTTAATCAAACTTCAACAATTCAATGAATTTTATATACACAATGTGGAAAGCCTTTCTTGTGAAAGATTAGAAAGATTATAAATGAAGTTTTCTTAATAACAAAATTGTATTTTGTATTTTTCATAACGCGCGTTATGGGTGGACACCAATTTTTTTTTTGAATTTCAAACATGTGCTGTTTTTCTAACTATTACATTTCAAGCTTCATCTTTTTTAAATTGATTTTATCCATGGAGCTCTTCCAAGGGATAAACTGGGAATTATCAAAGTTGTTCATAATGTGCATTCATCATGCAGAAGCACCAAATGTAACGCGCGTTGCATGGTGGACACCATGCATAACAACCGTTACAAGATGTGAAATATGGTGATTATGAAAAACTTTGCCAAGCAAACTAAATTTTGTAATGATATGAGCATAAATAGATTCAGCACTAACTATCAGACAATAATTAAACATCAGATAGTCACACAAATTTAGAGAATACCCATTACCAGGAACTAGGTTTTTCCATGTCACGTTTTGGTGTCCTAAATAGGGCCAAAAAATGGGTTTTCACCTTACATACAAATTTAAACCAGGGGCTTTGAAACACAACGTTATTTAAGTTATCTCCACTACATATCTGCATTAAGACATGGACAAAGTTATCACCATAGAATACTCTTTTATTATTATATTTATACTTGGATCTAAAATATCCATGGTGAAATCTATCCAGCATCATAAAACTACACATATACAACTGAGGGTGATGCTTTACTAATGTTTAAGTAAATCATTTCACACATTGGCAGGATTATTACTGTAGCAAGTCGACTATCACCTGATCTAGTTTCTTTCTATATATTCATAAGGTTTATAAGGTTCATATTTACTGTCAATTTAAGAATGAAGATTGGTGGTATTTACATTGTATATGAACATGTATATGGATACACATATAAATATATAAATTAATTCATAACAAAAGACAGATTTAATAAAATAATTTTTACTTGACAGAAAACAAAAACAAAAACAATAAAACATAGATGTAGTTATGCATCAAAAATATCATACATGTATACAGAGTGAGGTGATACAGGTATCAATAATGTCTTGTGTTATTATAATGGTTATTAATATCATTATGGTTATTATCATCATCATTATCCACTACATTCAACATCAAGTTTTTATCACGTCCATTGGTAACAATCACACCATCTATACATATTTTTGTTAACTCTGTATGATTGTACTCATAATGTTGTTTGCAATATAGCAAGACAAAGCATCTAGTCCCATCATAGACTGGAAGAGTAAAATATAAATTTATTTCTTATTTCAGAAAAAACGAGAGGTCATATAATAAGATGGGAAAGAACATGGACAAATGATGCACCTTGATTACAAAATACATTCATTCCATGCAAATAACTAGCACCCCATTTTTATAAGTATTCAATCAAAAATAATGGATATCGGTTCTATACAACCCGTGTAAATATACAAATGATATGATATGATCTTTGGAAAAGTCTTACATGTTCAATAACTTATTGTATTTTGACCTTACTTTTTAGTCTTTTTATCAATTTACTGAACATATTACTAAGATGATTTCAGCAGTTGTTACTTTTAGCCACTGATAGCATTTACATTAGCATTTTACATATATATTTTATCTTCTTCATACCAGAATAGAAGTGTTAATTCGCATGCGGCCAATAAGATGCCAAGCGATGACCCTCAGAGGACATCAATGCTCACGAGATGGCAGAAGACGCCATGTCTTGATGTACTGTACACAACACTGTAAGTACAAGCATACACGGTTAACAAAATTACAATTTGTTTTCATGAATTGGGTTAAACTATCATGAACTTACAAATTCAAAACTTGTAAGATGTAAGCTGTAATTAGCTTTTTATTAAAGGACATCTTATTGATTAAAAATGCCAAGTAGCATGCAGTTGTGAACAACGAAATGGTCATAAACATTTCACATCTTCAAGGGCATCATTGTTTCCCTGACTTCTATCACTTTAGTCCTTTAGCAGCAAACTTTTCTTTTGAACAATAACCGCAAGTTCTATGCCTTCTATCTAATGGAGCATTATGAGGACACGTGGATGTATATAAAATGGATGACCAAACAGATATTATACATTTCAACCATAAATACCATTACCATGTTCATTACCAGTACTGGGTATGATGAAAGTATTGTATGGCAAAGTTGTTTCAACTATTTTCTAATGCAGAAACCTACCTAAAAGAGACACAGTGATCATGGGGTCATTATGGCCTTGCCTGCCCTTTTCTTTCCTCAGTTAGAACTCACATATACTGTGTAATTAAAGTCTCACCATGCATGTGATGAAGCAGAGCCAATGTATCTATATCCAGACTCCATCTTCTCTACTGTTAAGGTTGAAAGGTATCATACCAAAAGGGTTCAAATAGAATAAATCGTCCTGGAATCCTTCATACAAATCTGACCTGATTGAAGAAAAAAAAAATCAGAATGATTTACGTAGTGAAAGCATTCAAACAATTGCACAAAGAATAAGAAAGATCCAAAAATCTGAAAGTCATGATCACTGATCTCCTATCAGCGATTTTGTTGTGATGGAGACAGCTACTTACAAAGCCCCATTGTTAACAAATTTATAACATAGTATTATGAGAACGAACCGAAAGAAAATCTACAAAATACTTTTCTGATATTGGAGAACCATTTTATATACATGCATGTTATGAGTAATATTTTTCTACAACTTTTACAGCATTAGATGTGTAATTTTAGGTTTATAATAAAACGTAGGGGTTTTTATACATTACTTTTGAATTGATATACATGGGCCTAGTCAAATAATCACCAATAACCATAATTATTTCCTATCCATAACTAATAATCAAATCCATATTTGTTGTAAATGTATTTAGTTTAGCTAAGTGTAACTTTCGAGATTATTTTGTTTTATCATGTCACCCTTCACTGTAATGTGCTCCTATGGTAATACTAGAAAAAGACACAGCAATTGATATGAAGTTCTAACCTGCTAACATGTGGACTATCTAATCTGAAAGGACAATCAAACCTTGGTAATCAGTTAACTCTTGTGAAAGCTTGACAATAAAAAAAATGAAATTGGCAAATTGGGTAAATTATCAGAAAGCTATGAATGTTTTTTTCCATGCAAATCTCAAATTGGCAATTTAGCGAGTGGCCATGGATTGCGATATATTCGTGACCGACTCTCCTAAATGTTATACTTTTTGAAAATAAGCATTTTAGTAATTTGTTGTGCTGGAACAAACAGGAGAGTTGTCTGGCACTACAACATAATGACATTATTGATTCAACCAATTTTAAATTCCCACGATTACAATATTAACAAATTAACAACTTTGTTATTGTATTATCCAATTTTATTCAAAATTTCAACAATCTGTTTCTTTGATTTTTCAAAGATAGGTTGAGGGTTCGAACCCCAGACTGGCACTAACGTCATTTGGCAAGACATTAATGTACATTTGGCAGTCTCTACCCAAGTGTATTTCGGTATTAATCAGGGGTGGTAGTGAGCACTAAACAAAAAAAGGGTTTTTTGTTTTCCCCTCAACCACGCCCCCTTGAGTAAAAAAAAAAAGAGGATTCGCAGGGAAAAAATGGCATCTAACAACATTCCCCCCTTTCGAGTAAGAAAGAATCATGCAAAATCAACAATGTCTGATCAGTGTTTTAGTGACTTCTATACAGCATAAACCAAATGGCCATATAAATGAATATTTATCTCACCATATTCAAGTATTTGTAACAGCTTGGGTCCTATTCAAACGCATCTTAGCATATAAAATTATAAAAAAGTTATAAAATAGGGATCAAATCTGAAAAATATCCAGCAAAACCCAGGAGTGGAGCCCTGGATTCAAATACCCAAATCAGTATATGGTCTGTACTATTCCACAGGAGTGTATTTATATCCTAACAAAAGACCACGGATTATATTACATTCTCTTATATTTTGTTACCTCATTGTTTAATTTGAATAACATATTGTAAGGACTACTGTTATTTAAAAGTGAGGATTACCACAAAATTCTATTAGCTGCCTCAAATACATTACTATGTGAAAATGCTTCTAGTAAGAGAGTTAACTTATGTTTTCCCTTATGTTCTTTGTTTCACAGATAATATTCATGCCGGCCCGGAGGTTATGTCCGATTCCGATGAATTCTAGCCTGGACCGGTAAGTTAACTCGATCAACATTCTGAAAAATAGAGATGTGAAACCATTAGAAATGGTATGTTGAGATAGACAGACGCGGATCCAAGGGGGCCTTGCCTCCCTGCCCCCCCCCCCCCATCAAAAAAATAAAAGAGAATTAAGGAAAGGGAAAGAAGGAAAGGGAAAGAAAAAAAGGACAAGAGGAGATAAAGGGAAGGAAAAAAAAGAGGAAGAAGAAAAGACAAGAGGGATATCAGTTGCAATTTTCCCGCCAACAAGTTGTGGATTGGGGGGCGAAAAGGCCCTTGCCTCCCACCGCCTCTGCCAAAAAAAGAGAGAAGGAAGGGAAAGGGAAGGGGAGAGCTAAAAGGGACCAAAAATTTCAAAGATGGTTTATTTCTAATTCGATAACGGTGATTTACAAATGTTACTGAAATGACATAATTTTCCAAGAATTTTCCTCACTTTTTACTAAATTTTACTTTTGTATGCGTTTGTTGAAAAATTACAAAACTTACAGTTAGGCAAGAAATATGCTTATTAAGAGGCCTACATGTCAGGGCCTGTGGAACGGTGGAGAATCGCCCCCCCCCCCCCCACTTTTTTGGAGCACGTATCCAGTATTTTGTCTCCGTGTATTTCAAAATTTGTTCTGCAATGACCTTTATCTGCTCATGCTCAGACTGCAACCGTGAACTGGCTCATTGTAAAAGGAATTGCCTTACCAAGTGGTATAGGTTGGTTCACCATTGAACAACGATTCTTTCATGATATTTTACCATGATCATAAATTAATCTCATGTAATTTAAAAATAATAATGAGATCGATGAACTTTGATGTTGACATTTTGAATACTAAACATTAACGATAGTATTCTAGAAACTTTCAGTCAGTTTAGACCTATTGCTAAACAATTTCTTTCCTTCAATAATCATGGGTGAATGCTAAAGGTAATACAAAGTGTTGGGAGATAAAATTGGGTCGATAGTGATTCTTTACAATTTTGATATATTTGGATGCCCCTGTGGATGTATTATAAGCACTAGAAAATTAAGCCACTAAAACACTTCTGCTTTCGAGAAAACTTGAATATAAAAATTTACCAGTGCTCCCGGTAAATTTTGATAAATTTCAAATAGCGCCTACCGCCGTACAATGGTAGCTGCGACCATGAAAATCTCAGAATATGTAGTTGTGATATATAATTTCCAAACGGGAATAGCTAATCGGTCGATTTTAGTCCAGAAACATTGTTTCATAGCTTAAATAATATCTTGAACTTGAGAGGGAACTATACAACATAAAGAGTTTACTATTTACAATTTTATAATTTTAGACTCGATTTCAACCGCGACAACGACCACTGAATATTGTAGGATAGCAAATGCTTCCAATATGTTCATTTGAACCAAAGTCATCATAACCCTAAGCCCATACCAAAACTTCGTATTACCTTTAAAAAGTATATGAAGTGGAGAAACAAAATCTATGACTTGTTTAAAATGTTCATAACTGCAACGTAGAGAATACAATTGTGAATACAATATATTTTTGGGTATTCTCCACCAGGCAGACGTGAAATAAGAGCTACCATCATACAAGGACTCCCAGTATACAACATATTCTAAATTCATCTATAAAACCAGCATTCCTGACTTCCTGCCTAATCCACACCATATTCACCGCCAGAATTCCTGCCTTTCCCGCCGCATTCACACCACATTCACACCAGATTCACATCAGATTCACCACCAGCATTCCTGCCTGCCTGCCTAATCCACACCATATTCACCACCAGCATTCCTGCCTTCCTGCCTTTCCCGCCGCATTCACACCAGATTCACACCAGATTCACACCAGATTCACCACCAGCATTCCTGCCTGCCTGCCTAATCCACACCATATTCACCACCAGCATTCCTGCCTTCCTGCCTTTCCTGCCGCATTCACACCAGATTCACACCAGATTCACCACCAGCATTCCTGCCTTCCTGCCTTTCCCGCCGCATTCACACCAGATTCACCACCAGCATTCCTGCCTTCCCGCCTCATTCACACCAGATTCACCGCCAGCATTCCTGCCTTCCTGCCTTTTCCGCCGCATTCACACCAGATTCACACCAGATTCACCACTTCGTCTGCCTTCCCAACAGGTACCGTTTCTTGACAGTCTATTCACTTATTAGTTTCCATCATTTGTACCATTATTATTTGATGTCCTTGTATAGCTCTTATTTTACATGGATTCTATAGTGTTGCTTCCCATGGCAAGAAGTTCATTGTTGACAAAATTTTATGTATGGATGGTTAACATTGAACAAGAAATGTTCCATTTGTCTTCCTAAAATGGTCATTATGACCTATATTCATATTCTTGCCTCTTTCCCATTACCTACTTCCATATCACATTACGTTTATATTCCAATGTTTTACATGATGTGGTTTCCTAGTTCCACAATGCCGCGGAATGTCACTTCCCTAATCTCCAATTCAGTTTACATATATATATTTTTCATATAAGAATGCCATTCTATGGCTAAAAAAATTGACCTTGGGTTGTGAAGTGTCTAGGTTCATAGGTAAGCAAAGCATTCATGTTCTTGGGCAAGACATTAATCTATATATTTCCAATTGTCAATTTCATTATTTTAAATTATATCCCTTTCTACATCTCTGATTTAGAAACATGCCATTCTATAGCTAAAAGAATGGACCTTGGGCTGTGAAATGTCTGAGTTTACGTTCGAGCAAAGCAGTTATATCCTTGGGCAAGACATTAATCTGTATATTTCCCATTGTCAATTTCAAAATGGTAATTTATATCCCTTTCTACGTCTCTGATTAAATTTTGTTTTTCTTTAAAACACTCTATTCTTTGGTATAAACAATTGACCTGGGGTTGTGAAATGTTTAGGTTCATTAGCCAGCAAAGTATTATGTCCTTGGGCAATACATGTGCATACATTGTGCATACATTGTGTGCGGGTAAGCCTGAATCCTATGACCGGGGTAATAATATATATATCTGTAAAGCGCTTTGAGAGGGCCTTCGGTCTTGAAAAGCGCTATATAAGAACTAGCTATTATTATTATTATTATTATTATTAATACATTAATCTATATATTTCTTATTGTCAATTTCCCTTTTTTTTTAAAATTATATCCATTTCTATGTCTCTGATTTATTTATTTTTTTCTTCTATAAAACACTCCATTCTTTGGTATAAACAATTGACCGTGGGTTGTTAAATGTTTAGGTTCATGGGCCAGCAAAGTATTATGTCCTTGGGCAAGACATTAATCTATATATTTCTTATTGTCAATTTCATTATTGTCAATTATATAACTTTCTACATCTCTGATTTAGAAACATGCCATTCTATAGCTAAAAGAATGGACCTTGGGCTGTGAAATGTCTGAGTTTACGTTCGAGCAAAGCAGTTATATCCTTGGGCAAGACATTAATCTGTATATTTCCCATTGTCAATTTCAAAATGGTAATTTATATCCCTTTCTACGTCTCTGATTAAATTTTGTTTTTCTTTAAAACACTCTATTCTTTGGTATAAACAATTGACCTGGGGTTGTGAAATGTTTAGGTTCATTAGCCAGCAAAGTATTATGTCCTTGGGCAATACATGTGCATACATTGTGCATACATTGTGTGCGGGTAAGCCTGAATCCTATGACCGGGGTAATAATATATATATCTGTAAAGCGCTTTGAGAGGGCCTTCGGTCTTGAAAAGCGCTATATAAGAACTAGCTATTATTATTATTATTATTATTATTAATACATTAATCTATATATTTCTTATTGTCAATTTCCCTTTTTTTTTAAATTATATCCATTTCTATGTCTCTGATTTATTTATTTTTTTCTTCTATAAAACACTCCATTCTTTGGTATAAACAATTGACCGTGGGTTGTTAAATGTTTAGGTTCATGGGCCAGCAAAGTATTATGTCCTTGGGCAAGACATTAATCTATATATTTCTTATTGTCAATTTCATTATTGTCAATTATATAACTTTCTAAGTCTGAATAATTACATATTTTTTCATATAAAAAGGATTGACCTGGAGTTGTGAAGTGTCTGAGTTCATTGTTGGGCAAAGCATTTATGTTCTTCGGCAAGACATTAATCTATATATTTCCCATTGTCAAATTCATTATTGTCAATTATATGGCTTTCTGAGTCTCTGGTTTATAAACATGCAATTCTATAGCTAAAAGAATGGACCTAGGGGTGTGAAGTCTGGGTCCATGGTCCAGCAAAGCAGTTATGTCCTTGGGCAAGACATTAATTTATATATTTCCCATCGTCAGTTACTTTATTTCAAATTATATCCCTTTTTACGTCTCTGATTAAGCATAAACATGCCATTCTTTGGTATAAACAATTGACCTGGGGTTGTAAAATGTCTTGGTTCATGGTCCAAGCAAAGCATTTACGCCTTGGGCAAGACATTAATCTATATATTTCCCATTGTCAATTTCATTATTTCAATTATATGGCTTTCTAAGTCTCTGATTTTAACTCATTCCATTTTATACCTAAAAGAATATGGACCTGGGGCTGTGAAATGTCTGGGTTCATTGTCCAGCAAAGCAGTTATGTCCTTGGGCAAGACATTGATCTATATATTTCCTATCGTCCATTTCAAAATGTTAATTCATATCCCTTTCTAAGTCTCTGATTAAGAATTTGTTCTCATAAACACTCCATTCTTTGTTATAAACAATTGACCTTGGGTATTGAAGTTCTTGGGTTCATGGTCCAGCAAAGCATTTATGTCCTTGGGCAAGATATTAATCTATATATTTCCCATTGTCAATTTCATAATGTTAATTCATATCCCTTTCTAAGTCTCTGATTAATAAACATGCTATTCAATAGGTAAAAGAATTGACCCGGGTTGTGATATATCTGGGTTCATGGTCCAGCAAAGCATTTATGTCCTTGGGCAAGACGTTAATCTATATATTTCCCATCGTCAGTTACTTTATTTCAAATTATATCCCTTTTTACGTCTCTGATTAGGTATAAACATGCCATTCTTTGGTATAAACAATTGACCTGGGGTTGTAAAGTGTCTGGGTTCATGGTACAGTAAATCATTTATGTCCCTGGGCAAGACATTAATCTACATATTTCCCATTGTCAATTACATAATGTTAATTCATATCCCTTTTTAAGTCTCTGATTTATGAACATGCCATTCTATAGCTAAAAGAATGGACCTGGGATTGTGAAATGTCTGGGTTCATGGTCCAGCAAAGCATTTATGTTGTTGGGCAAGACATTAATTTATATATTTCCATCTTCAGATACTTTATTACAAATTATATCCCTTTTTACGCCTCTGATTAGGCATAAACATAATTAAGAATGATATTTCTTCATATAAAAATTCCATATTTTGGTATAAACAACTAACCTGAGGTTGTAAAGTGTCTAGGTTCATGGGCCAGCAAAGCAGTTGCAAGACATTAATCTCTATATTTCCCATTGTCAATTTCATAATGTTAATTCATATCCCTTTCTACTACATCTCTGATTAAGTATATATTTTTCTGTAAAACATTCCATTATTTGGTATAAACAATTAGGCTGGGATTGTAAAATGACCAAGTTCATGGTCCAGCAAAGCATTTATGTCCTTGGGCAAGACATTAATCTATATATTTCCCATTGTCAATTTCATAATGTTAATTCATATCCCGTTCCAAGTCTCTGATTTATGAACATGCCATTCTATAGCTAAAAGAATGGACCTGGGATTGTGAAATGTCTGGGTTCATGGTCCAGCAAAGCAGTTATGTCCTTGGGCAAGACATTAATCTATATATTTCCCATCGTCAGTTACTTTATTTCAAATTATATCCCTTTTTACGTCTCTGATTAGGTATAAACATGCCATTCTTTGGTATAAACAATTGACCTGGGGTTGTAAAGTGTCTGGATTCATGGTCCAGCAAAGCATTTATGTCCTTGGGCAAGACATTAATTTATATATTTCCATCTTCAGTTACTTTATTACAAATTATATCCCTTTTTACGCCTCTGATTAGGCATAAACATAATTAAGAATGATATTTCTTCATATAAAAATGCCATTCTTTGGTATATGACCCTCGGTTGTGAAGTGGCTACGTTCATGGTCCAGCAAAGCAGCTATGTCCTTGGGCAAGACATTAATTTATATATTTCCCATCGTCAGTTACTTTATTTCAAATTATATCCCTTTTTACGTCTCTGATTAGGTATAAACATGCCTTTCTTTGGTATAAACAATTGACCTGGGGTTGTAAAGTGTCTGGGTACATGGTCCAGCAAAGCAGTTATGTCCTTGGGCAAGACATTGATCTATATATTTCCCAAAGTCTTTTCATAATTTTTATTCATATCACTTTCTAAGTCTCTGATTTAGAATTTGTTCTCATAAACATGCCATTCTTTGGTATAAACAATTGACCCGGGATTGTGAAATGTCTGGGTTCATGGTCCAGCAAAGCATTTATGTCCTTGGGCAAGACATTAATCTATATTTTTCACATTGTCAATTACATAATGTTAATTCATATCCCTTTCTAAGTCTCTGATTAAGAATTTGTTCTCATAAACATGCCATTCTTTGGTATAAACAATTTACCTGGGGTTGTGAAGTGTCTAGGTTCATGGTCGAGCAAAGC